GGACTTTATGAGGAGGAATGTGGCATCAGGGTTGAAGGAAGACTCATCAACAGCCTAAGTTATGCAGATGACACAACCTTGCTTGCTGAAAATGAGGAGGACCTGAAGCACTTACTGCAGAAAGTCAAGGACTGTAGTCTTCAATAGGCTTGACAATCAACATCAAGAAGATAAAGATTAGGGAGCTCTCGTGGCCTAGTGGCAAGAAGCGCCACAATCCCAAAGGCATGTGGTTTGAATCCACCAGATGCTCCACTGGAGAAGGAAGACAAAGATTCTCACCACTGGGCCAGTTGGCAGCACCATGATGGATGGAGAAAAGATTGAGGTTGTTAACAGTTACAGCTTGCTCAGCTCCTTAATCAACACTTTAGTACCAGCAGTCAGGAAATCACAAGGCAAATTGCATTAGGTAAATCAGCTGTTAGGGACCTTTCCAGAGTACTGAGACGCAACAATGTCAGTCTCGAGCCTGAGGTGTGCCTGATCCGTTCCATGTCTTTGTAGTTACTTGCTATGTATCAGAGAGCTGGACAATGATAGTAAAAGAAGAATTGATGCCTTTGAGTTGTGGTGTTGGAAAAGAGTCTTGAACATACCATGGTCCATTAAGAAAATAAATAGGTCTGTCTTGAAGAGGGTGAAACCAGGTTTCTCCTTGGAGGCTAGGATTTCCAACCTCTGTTTCACATACTTTGGGATCTGACCAGGAGGGACCAATCCTTGGAGAAGGACATCATGCTTGGAAAGGTGGAGGGACAGCACAGGAGAGGAAGACCTCAGATGAAATTGACTGATCTAGTAACATAGGGTATTGGGGGTAGATATATTGGAATCAGTGAGACTGGCTCAGGACAGGGCAGGCCTCAAGCTATTGTCTCTATAAATAGCAGACAACTTGACATAACAACAACAACAAAGTAAAAGTAAACCCTTAACAACTTTGATATTTTTCTTGTTAACCTGATGTTGCTTATTGGTCCAGTTATGGAAAATTGTTTTTTAATTGCAGTGTTGTCCATAATAGAGGCTATTAAGATTTCTATATTCTAGCAACTTTAAGAAAAAATGTAATTTTCTAATAAGAAATAGCTATCAACAAAATATATGTAGTATCTTGAAATAAGACTTTCATACCCTTAATTATGAAAACTATAATAATTTTTTATTATTATTATTTTTTGTGCATTGTACCATGAAATCAGATCTTACTGGTACAGGAAGAGATTGTCCCTCCTTCTCCAGCAGAGCGTCTGGTGGATTCGAACCAGGCACTTCTGGGATTGCAGTGTAGCTTCTTGCCACTAGGCCACCAGAGCTCCCTTGAAAACTGTAATAATTTTTAAAGACTTGATAGAAGATTCAAGTAAACAAAAACATTTTAAATAGATTTAATATTTGGAACCTGATACTTCTACACAGAATAATTCATGAATTCCATGCCATTCCATTAAAAATTTCAACAGGATTTTTTTTTAAATTTTTTGTGTGAGTGTACCGTCAAATCAGATCTGACTGGTACAGCAGGAGATTGTCCCTCCTTTCCCGGCAGAGCATCTGGTGGATTCAAACCCTGCGCCTCTAGGATTGTAGTTGCAGCTCCTTGCCACTAGGCCACCAGAGCTCCCCTTCAACAGGATATTTTGTGGAACATGACAGACAGATCCTAAAAATTGTGTGAAAGAATAAATGAGTAAGGATAACCAGAGTATCTTTAAAATAAACCAGGGCGGGGGGAAATAAACCAAGAGATCAAACTATGAAATTGATTGAAACACATAACAATCTTTTCAAAGTAGAACTGCCCCTATAAGATTTCTAAGGCCCACCACAACAAGATAAAGGTAAATAACCCAATTGAAAAATGGGCACAGGATATGAACAGACACTTCACCAAAGAAGACATTCAAATGGCCAACAAATACATGAAGAAATATTCAAAATCCCTAGCTCTAAGAGAGATTCAAATCAAAACAACTATGAGATATCATCTCACCCCAGTAAGAATAGCAACATTTAACAGAGCAGTAAACAACAAATGCTGGCGAGGTTGTGGAAAAACTGAAACCCTTATTCACTGTTGGTGGGAGTGTAAAATGGTGCAACTGCTATGGAAAGCTGTAAGATGCTTTCTCAAAAATTGCAAATAGAAATACCATTTGATCCAGCAATTCCACTACTGGAAATATACCCTAAAGAAACCATAACTGCCACCCAAGCAGATACATGTACACCCATGTTTATTGAGGCTTTGTTCACAATAGTAAAGAGTTGAAAACAACCTAAGTGCCCATCAACAAACAAATGGATAGAGAAGCCCTGGTATATTCACACAATGGAATACTATGCTGCATTGAAAAACAAGGAACTCATGCAATATTTTTCAAAATGGGTCATCTTGGAGGACATTACACTGAGTGAAATATCTCAGTCACAAAAGGAGAGTTGCTGCATGGTGCCACTATTGTAGAACGGAACTGATATCAGGGTTGGAGTGAGACTGAGAAAAATCGGATAAATTATGTATACTGCATTGAAACAGATGAGGGAGAGAACTGTTTGAAAGCAATATATGATTGGGTATTATGGTTATGACAAAAGTCCAGAATGAAGGTTGCATAGTGGAGTGTACTCGGGGTGGGAGAGGGGGATTCTATACCAATGAAATAACTTCTCTTTTACTTTTCAAAGTGAAGAGCAAATTGGGGGGAGGGGTGGGCAGGGAGAAAAGTGCAACAATGAATAAATGTATGGAAATCCAAAATCTCTGTAAACATTCATTAAAATTAATTTTAAAAGAAAAATATTTCTAAGGCCGTGCTTCAATGGAAACAAACTGCCATATCTTTCTACTGTGATTTATCTGATATGTTTGACTTGCTTAATCACTGTGTCATCAAAACTCCTTGTTTAGTTAGAGTGACAATAAATGAAACATGATGTGAAGTTAGTACAAAGATAAGTTATTGGAACTCATAAGGAGCATATAAGAGGTTTAAATATATTTTGTGTGTGTGTGTGTGTTTTTTAAATTATAATTATATTTTATTAATTTTCATAAACATTTACAGAGATTTTGGGCTTCCACTCATTCATTGTTGCACTATTCTCTCTACCCTCCTTCC